GTTGAAAAGAAAGAGTCTAGCCTCTAAGTAAAAGGAAAAGAAAAGAAGCCAAAGAGCTCAAATGTTTTGTAAAGAAAGAAAAAAGAGGCTAGAGGTTGCAAAAGAAAAAGAGCTGTGTAAAGTTTGAACTCCAAGACTTGAGAGTGAAAGTGAAAAGTAAGTCCCCAAGTGAGACGAAAATAAGTGTGAAAAGTGAGGTTCTTGAGAGAGTGAGCAAGTGAGAAAGCTTTGAGTAGAGGGTGGGGTGTGATGAGTCTTTGCCCTTGTATGCATAGGTTGCTTTTTACCTTTAGCATTCTGCCAAAGTTTGATCATTCATTGAGAGATCCCTTGCTGCATTAAACCCACTTGAACACTATTGAGATCATTTTAATCTCATAGCCTCTCCCTAGCCAAGCCAGCTTGTTTAAACATTGCATCATTAGATTCACCTGATAAAAGCTTAATGCATGTGAAAGAGTTGAGAGAGAGAAGAACTTCTGGAGATTCCTTGTTGAGTTGATATATATCTGAGTATGGCTTTGCATTGCATAATTGAGCATGAACTTGAATTCTCATTGTGATCACTTCTCTCAAAAAGGAAATGTGAACTCCCATGCATTCAACCTCTCTCTCTCATTTGCTCTTTTTGCTTGAGGACAAGCAAAAGACAAGTGTGGGGGAATTGATATGTTCATAATTTGCATCATTTAGGTTGCATATTTCATTCCAAATCATGTTTTATTTCATGCATTTTAGGTCCTTAGGGTTTGTTTTAGAACTTAGGAGTTACATTAGGTCCCAATGAGTCTTTGCATGTTTTGAGTGTTTATCAGGTGTATTTGGAGCTATTTGGAGCTGAAAAGATGAATCCAGGAAGTGGAATGGTGACCAAGGCTTAAAAAAATGGTGAAATTGGGTTTTTGGAGGTTCTCGGCCATTCTCGCGCACCAGGAAGGTTTTTCTCGGCCATTCTCACGTACCGCGGGTGGATTTTATCGGCCAAAATGCGTACCGACTAATGATTCCTCGGCCAAAATCTCCGGGTGCAGACACGTTTCCGAAATCGCCTGTCCGGGGAACCTTCCGGTCCGATTCAGCTGTCAGGTGCTTCATCAAAGTTAGAGAGGATTGGATCACGGTCCCAGAGCAAGTGGAATCATGGAACTCGGACGCGTGAGCAGAAAGTTAAGCTCGTCGGAAGAAACTCCTGTCTCGCTGCCGTTTTGGAACAAGCCGATGAGCTCCGAAGAATGCGAAGGACGGTGCACTTCCAGACCGATTCAGTTTACAAGGCCTTCATGAGAATTAGAGATATTCGAGTCCTCTTTCCAGAACATCCGAGATCATTCAATTCGGAGCTATGAACAAGAAGATACGGTCTCCGGAATGGACACATGTCTAGACGCCTTTCCCTGATCGTGTAAATGCACTGCAAAGATGAGCCCTCTTGGAAACCTTCCACTTCCTAAGCACCGAAGCTTCCTTCACCAAAGTTGAAGATATATGAGTCTTCTGTCCTCTGCAATCGGAATCACATAATTCAGACCAATATCCCGGAAGTTAAGCCTCCCGGAATGCGAAGTGGTCCAAGCGGCCCTGAACGATGCGAGCTAAGGGAAAGATGCCACGATGGAACGCCACGGTCCACACCTGACCGTGGCACTTAATTGCATTCCTTCGGCACTTGACACGATCTTCATGCCACAGTCTACACTTGACCGTGGCAATGTAGCATTTGGCCGGGAAGGACTTTACTCATCTTCGGCGATTGGCACGACCTCAATGCCACGGTCTAGGACTTGACCGTGGCAACTTTGTACACTTTCTCGGCGTTTGACACGGTCTCAATGCCACGGCCTAGGACTTGGCCGTGGCAACCTTGCGCATACTCTCGGCGTTTGACACGGCCGTGCATCACGGTTTCACATCTGACCGTGGCAACCTTTTACATACATTGGCGTTTGACACGACCACTTGCCACGGGTATTGACTCAGACTTGCTAGACCATGACACCATGATTCATCCAAGAACACGTGATACAATACTTGACACGGTCACTTGCCACGGGCTGACCAGAACCTGCTAGACCGTGGCAAACTCATCCTTTACCCACCAAGGCCGGGTCAGTACCCGGTTTGTTCCGGGCTGACCCGGTTCGTCCAAGGCTTCTATAAATAGTTTTTAGACCTAATTTGGAGAGGACTTTTATGCTATTTTTAGTCTCCTTTTCCCTTTTTGTGAAAGACCACTTGTTAATACCTTGCTTTTGAGTTTAACATCGATTTGAATAGTATTTTCCTCTTAATCTATCATCTCCATCTCTATTTCTCATCATTAATCATGCCAATCTCCTCAACTTGCAAAGGTTTAAGAGAGATTAGTATGATTAGTGAGTTAGGGTGCTAAAGTGTTAGATTAGGAGTGCTTAGGGCTAGATTCATTGATTCATCTCTCTAAACAGCTCTATGCTAGATCCTTGCATATCACTTGAGATCTAGATTCTGGGAATTTCATGCACCAAAATTGTTTGATGAAATTTCTGAAAGAGTTGTATTAGGGGTTTAAGCATTTGTTGCATGATGATGTATTGTTATTTGCTTGAATGATCATTAGAACTGTTTATTAATGCATATTGATTCATATTTCACAAATGATGATTTGGTTTGAAAATGGATTAGTATAGGAGTTAATACCTTCATGAGAGAATTAACCTAGATTAGAGTTCTTAATCATTTGAATCATGTCTCATAATTGTCATTAGCATTTCTAGTTTAGCACCAAAGCACCCTAACCAACTATCATGTCTAGAATCTCATGCCTCCATCATATCATAATCATATCACTTGTCATTGTTTAGTTCTTCTTTAGTCTTTAATCCTGTTTTTTTAAGTTTGTAGTTGTCATTAGTTAATCAAAACCACTCTTGTTTGCTTGAATTAAGAATCTGATCACATAGTTTAGTGTCTAACACCACATATGGATTGATAAACCCCTTGTACTACAAGACAGGGGATTGATAACCTCTACAAAGAGCCTTGAAAACTCTTAGTTATCGATCCAAGTGTTCCAAGGGATCTTCCATTGCTAATCCATGGAACTTTGAGTTCTGGACCATATTCAACAAGGATGCCTTCACTTCAAAGTTGTTGTTTTGCACAGGTGGTGCCTGAATTCCAGCTCCATACTGATGAGCTCTATTAAGCACCAGAGGCACCTTAACCCCAACCTCAAAGAGGTGGTTAAGAAGGAGATACTCAAACTCCTTGAGGCAGGAATCACTTACCCAATTTCTGACTCAAGATGGGTATCTCCTGTGCATGTGGTGCCCAAGAAAGGTGGTGTCACAGTGGTGAAAAATGATAAGGGTGAGTTAATAGCCACAAGAACTATAACTGGTCACCGCATGTGCATTGATTATAAAAAGCTTAACTCTGCATCTAGAAAGGATCATTTCCCATTGCCATTTATTGATCAGATGCTTGAGAGATTAGCTAACCACCCCTATTTATGCTTCCTTGATGGGTACTCTGGTTTCTTCCAAATTTCTATAGATCCAAGAGATCAAGAGAAAACGACATTCACATGCCTATACGGCACATATGCATATAGACGCATGCCCTTTGGCCTATGCAATCCACCTACCATATTCCAGCGTTGTATGATGCACATATTTTCTGACCTTATTGAAGAGAATGTAGAGGTATTCATGGACGACTTCTCTGTCTATGGGTCTTCTTTCTCTGCTTGCCTTTCTAATCTTTCTCAGGTTCTCAATAGATGTAAGGAGACAAGTTTGGTTTTAAACTGGGAAAAATGTCATTTTATGGTGCAAGAGGGGATTGTACTTGGGCACAAGGTCTTAGAAGCAGGAATAGAGGTGGACAAGGCCAAGGTGGAGGTCATGGTGAACTTAGAGGCTCCAACATCGGTTAAGGGCATTAGAAGCTTCATTGGTCATGCCGGCTTCTATAGAAGGTTTATCAAAGACTTTTCTAAGATAGCCAGGCCTTTGACAAGGCTTCTTTGCAAGGAGGTGGACTTTGTATTTGATGGAGAGTGCATGGAGGCATTTCTTAAGATCAAGCAAGCCCTTGTGAGTGCACCAATGATTCAGTCTCCTGATTAGACATTGCCCTTTGAAGTGATGACAGATGCTTCAGATTATGCAGTGGGAGCAGTCTTGGGTCAGAAAAAGGATAGGTTGCATGTGATCTACTATGCAAGCAAGACCTTGGACTCAGCACAAGAGAAATATGCAACAACAGAAAAGGAGATGTTGGCCATAGTCTTTGCATTTGACAAATTCAGAAGCTACCTTGTGGGTTCAAAAGTTATTGTGTACACTGATCATGCAGCCCTCAGATATCTCATGACTAAGAAGGATGCCAAACCTAGACTCTTGAGGTGGGTTCTACTCTTGCAGGAATTTGATATGGAGGTGCAAGACAAGAAAGGCATTGAGAATGGAGATGCTGATCATCTTTCTAGGCTGAGAGTGGAATCAGATGTCCCTCTAGATGACTCACTTCCTGAAGAGCATCTAATGGTTGTTAAGTCATACTTGGAGGTGGAACAGGCTAATGCTATAAGAGATAGGAGTTTACCTTGGTTTACAGATATTGTTAACTATCTCTCTTGTGTTGTAGAACCACCAGAACTGGATGCCTATCAAAGAAAGAGATTCTTCAAAGAGGTGCAAAGGTATCATTGGGATGAACCTTATTTGTATGTGCTGAACAAAGACTACTTGTATAGGAGATACTTAGCTGAGGAAGAAATGCAACCAGTGCTACAGGAATGTAATGGCTCAGCTTATGGAGGTCACTTAGGAGCTTTCAAAACAATGGCCAAGGTATTACAATCAGGGTTCTGGTGGCCTACAATGTTCAGAGATGCTCAAGTCGTTGTGTCAAGCTGTGATCAATGCCAAAGACAAGGCAACATCTCCAAGAGAAGTGAGATGCCCCAAAATTCCATCTTGGAGGTGTAACTTTTTGACTGTTGGGGTATTGACTTCATGGGTCCTTTTGTGAGTTCATATGGGAACCAGTACATCCTTGGTGCTGTGGATTATGTTTCCAAATGGGTTGAGGCTGTTGCTTCCCCAACCAATGACTCTAAGGTGGTGGTCAAGCTTTTCAAAAGCATCATCTTCCCAAGGTTTGGGGTTCCTAGAGTAGTGATAAGTGATGGGGGTTCACATTTGGTGAACAAGACTCTAGAGGGATTGTTAAGGAAGCATGGTGTTAAATAAAGATAGCAAGCCCATATCACCTTCAGAATAGTGGTCAAGTAGAAGTCTCTAATAGACAAATCAAGGCCATTTCGGAGAGAATAGTGAGCAACTCAAGGAAAGATTGGAGCAAGAAGTTGGATGATGCTGCCTATAGGACTGCTTTCAAGACACCTATTGGCACATCTCCCTTCAACCTTCTCTATGGAAAGAGCTGCCACTTACCAGTAAAGCTTGAGTACAAGGCTCTCTGGGCTATTAAGATGTTGAACTTTGACATTAGAACAGCTCAAGAGAAGAGGGTACTTCAGTTGCATGAACTAGAGGAGATAAGACTCAATGCTTTTGAGAGTGCGAGGATTTACAAAGAGAAGACCAAGATATTGCATGATCAGAAGATTCTTAAGAGGGAGCTCAAGGTGGGAGACCTTGTTCTCTTGTTTAACTCTAGGCTCAAGCTCTTTCCTGGCAAGTTAAGGTCAAGATGGTCAGGACCATTCAGGGTATAGGAGGTTAGAAGCTATGGAGCATTTGTCTTGGAAGGAAAGGATGGAAAGGGTTTTGTTGTGGATGGACAAAGGGTCAAGCATTACCTGGTTTCAGAGAAGAGAGGAAGCTTCTACAGTTCCTCTTGATGATCCACCAACCTGTTAAACAGGTTTTCAAAGTCAAACTTAGTGATATTAAACAAAGTGCTCTTGGGAGACATCCCAAGCTTGGTCTAGGCTGTGAATAAGTATGGGGGAGAAGTTTCTTTGAGTGAGAGTTTTGAGAGAAAAGAATTTTTGAGAAAGAAAAGAGAAAGAGTGTAAAAAGGAGAGTGATGAGAAGTGAGGGTTTGAAAAAAAAAGAAATCAGTCTTGGGTCTTGTGTTTTGAAAGAAAATAGAGCTCTAAGTATCTAATAGAAGGTATCTAACCTCTGAGTGTAAGGAAAAGAAAGAAAAGAAGCCAAAAGGGCTCATGTGTTTAAAAAGAAAATGAGAGGTTAGATAACCCAAAATAAGAAAAGAGCTATGCGTAAAGAAAAGATCCCAAGCCGAGTATCTAAAAGAAAAAGAAAACCCTTTTTGAGAGATGAAAGTGAGTGAGAAGAGAGCTGTGAGGTTCATTGTGAGAGTGTGAGTTAGAGGCGTTTTAGGTAAGGGGAGTGAGTTTAGTCTTGCTCTTGTATGCATCGGTTGCTCTTTACCTTTAGCCTTCTGCCAAAGTTTTGATCGTTCATTGAGAGATCCCCGATTGCATTTAAACCTTGCTTGTGCATTTGAATGAGATCATTTTAGTCTCATAGCCCTCATCCTTAGCCAAACTTTGCTTGCTTGAACTTGCATCACTTGATTCACATGGTAATGAGCTTAACGAATGTCAAAGAGTTGAGGAATAAGAAAAACTTGTGGAGATCATTGTTGAAAATATGAACATCAAAGTAGAGTCTTGCATTGCATGTGGAATTGGCAACTTGGAATCTGAATCTCTTTGTGATTGTTTCTCTCTTCCCATAAGAAATATGAACTCCCAATGCATTCAACTCTTTCTCTCATTTGATCTTTTTGCTTGGGGACAAGCAAAGGACAAGAGTGGGGGAGTTGATATGTTCATAATTTGCATCATATAGCTTGCATTTTTAGGTCCAAATCATGTCTTATCTCATGTATTTTAGGTCATTAGGCATTGTTTTAGACTTTAGGGTTTACATTAGGTCCCAATGTATCTTTGCATAGTTTGGAGTTCATTATCAGGTGCTTTTGAGCCTGTTTGGAGCAGGAGAGATGTGATCAGGAGTTGAAACGGTGAAGAAAAGGGTCAAGAATGGTGAAAATGGCCTAAAAGACTTTATCGGCAAAATTGTGTACCGGATAGATCAGTTCTTCGGCTAAAAATCCAACCCGGCAAGTTTTCTCGGCCAAAATCACTATTGGATGAAGTTTTCATCGGCCAAAATACTGTCAGGTGGATTTTTCTCGGTTGAAAGCTGTACCGGATCTGAGGCTTATCAGGTGAAGTTTTATGCCGAGATGTATGAGTTTTATCGGCTAAAAAGCTTACCGCAAGATGTGATTCTCGGCTATTTTCCATACCGCGGTAGATAATCTCTCGGCCAAAAACATGTTCTACCGACACGCGCCAAAGATTGACTGTCCGGGGAAGCTTCCAGTTCGAATCAGTTGTCAGGGTCTTCATCAAAGTTGGAGAGGATCGAGTCAGGGTTCCAGAACAGTTGAAATTACTGAATTCGGACCAGTGAGCAGAAAGTTAAGGCCATCAGGAGACACACCTGTCTCGCTTCTGTTTTAAACTGATCCGATGAACTTCAGAGATTACGTGGGATAATGCCTTTCCAGTCCGAATCAGTTGTCGAGGACTTCATCAAGATCAAGGTCTTCGAGTGCTCTTTCCAGAACAGCTGAGATCATCCGATTTGGAGCTGTGTGCAGAGAAAAACCGTCTTCGGAGTGAACACGGGTCCAGGAGCTAATTTCTGATCATTCCGATACGTTTCAAAGATGAACCATTCCAGGGACCTTCCACTCCCCAAGTGCTAATGTTTCCTTCACCGAAGTTTGAGCTGGATGAGCTGTCTTTCTCGTGGAGCTGATTTCAAGTCATTTGGAGTTACGAGCTAAAAGTTATTGCAATCAGGAGACAAGCGGGTCGATACAAGCTTTTAAGAGATGCGATTGGTGCTAAGTGTTTAAGCAGGCCTCAGTGTCGTTCCCTCGACATTGTCTTATAGACAAAGAATATTGAACCCACAAGAGCTTGAAAATCTCTTGTTATCAAAGCTATGAAAAAGGGAGGAAGAAAATTAGAGAGAAATTGGAATAAACTATAACTCGGACTCTAAAATGAATTTAGTGGTAAAATCATTTAGTGATTGGAAAGAGAATAACGTTTGCAAACTGAGAATCTGGGATAATGTGTTTATAAGAAGTTAAAAAAAAAAAAAAATAGAAGAAGAAAAAAAGAGAAAATGGAATAAACAAAGATTAGACTCTAAAATGAATTTAGTGGTTCAAAATCACTTATTGGAACAAGAATAACTTCTGTAAACTTAGACCATCTTCAATAGGGGTTGATGGCCCAGTTTTATAGGCAAAGTTAGATAAAAAAAAGTCCACTTTTCTTTAGAACCGATCCTTAAATAAAATTTTTTAAGACCGATTCTAAAGACCACATGTCTTACATTAATTGGTTAATTTTTTTTTGGGACGCTCTCTCTCCTCTCGTGACACCTCTCTAGATATGTGGTCTTTTTCTCTTTCTTTTAGTTAATCAAATTAATTAATAAAAAAATGTTAAGAACTTCTCTATGAGGTTTAGTGATAGAGATGTTTTTAACCATCCACATTGGAGGTTTCTCACAAGAGTCTCTCAACTATTAAAAAAAAATATTAAAATAATAAATATTAATAATTAATTATAAAATCTCTTAAAAAGTTAGAGAGTTTCGCTCAGTAAGTGTTTCTTTGAATTTAAAAGACTTTTATTAAGTGTTCCAAGATTTTTGAGAGATTTTTATAATTAAATAATACTATTTATTATTTTGTTATTATTTAGAAATGAGAGACTTTTTTAGATATTTAGGTTGTCGACAAAAAAATAAAAAACTCTTAAGGCATCTCTAACCCTACCCCATTTTTTCCTCTAAATGCTATTTTGGAGGAAATTCTTCTCCATCCCTACTCCATTTTCACCTACAAAATGGAGGAATGCCATTTTTTCAACTTCATTTTGCAGGTGAACTTTTTTATTTACAAGATAGTCCTTTACTTTTAATTAATTCTTAAAACTATATTTTTTATTTATAATTTAATCATTTATACTATATATATTGATTAAAATTAAAGATAAATAGATTTAAAATTTGAGAATAGAAAATAAAAAATATAAGAAGATTAACTGAAACTATAAATAACATAAAATTAAAAATACATAAAAATACATAAAATTAAAATATACTTTGTTTTATTATTTTAAATGGTGTGTAGTATTATTTGTATATTATAATAGTTGAATTTAAAATAATATTATAATTTATAGAAGTTTTAACTGAAAAAAATAAATGGATTCATTTGTAATTTTTATAAATAAAGTTCATTATTAGTAATTAACAATAAAATAAAAATGAAGAATATACTTAGAATATTCTTTTTGGAGTTGGAAATAGAGGAATACATTGGAGAAAAATCCAACTCCATTTTATAGTTCCTCCATTTTTGAAATAAAAATGGAAGAATACGTTGGAAATGCTCTTATGAAAGACTTCCAAATGCAGATGCTCTTAGAATATGGGATTAAGAGTTTCCAAAATGCAAAAAAGAAAGAGAAAAATGGGAAATGTCCTTTTTAGATTACACAGCTATCTACAAATATTTTATATCTATCAGATACCTAATTTATATAAATGAAAGATAGTCAAACTGACCTTTATCTCTGGCAGATGAGAAAACGTGAGACCATTCCTACATGCATATATCAGGTTCATTTAGTCAGTTTAAAACTGATACGTATTAGTTATTAGTTAATTTTCCTATTATCATTAGTGTTTCTATTTCTTTAGTTTCCTTTTCGAAATAGCTGCGTTTAGGGTTTTATGATATATATAGAGGTTAAGGCTTGGTTGTGAAAATCATCCAAGCTAGAGAAAGAGCTTTAGAGGGATTATCGGGTTAGGCCGAGGGGAGAGTAAATCTAGAAGTTTTACTCTTATTACTTATCTATTATTATTAATAAAAGTGTTTGGTTTTGGTTAATCGATTCTATCTCTAACAAAAACATATCAAAGTAAAACAACGGAGACGAATCTGAAATCTTTATAAATGAAAGGGTCAAAGATGTAATCTCTCACCATGGGAAAATGATTTAGAGTCTTTTTGATTACTAATGGTCTTCGCGGTTGTTTGAAGAAAAAATTCCTGCAACAGTGAGAAAAGAGTTATTTTTAGAACAAAACCAATATTCATTCAGCTACGAGAATATACACCTAAAGAAGAATTAACTTTACCAGAAGATACGCTAAAGAGGAGGTATTATCCATCCCATTCTATTGATCACCATTACACTACTTCAAGATTCAGGGTTTCTCTCTACAACTCGGGCAAGGTCTTTCACCGGAGCTTTAATTTGTATACCTCAGTGTTGCTACCGAGAGAGACTAACCATAGCGATAGAGTAAGTCGCCAACAGAAATAATGTAATGGGGAAGAAAAATATGAAAATCACTTACCTTGGGCCATATAAAGAGGAAACCCTTCAACCGGATCCAGTGGCATCTGTATTCAGGGATTATTGGATGTGGAAGCTTTTAGCAAAACTAACAGATTGTTAGCAAACGAAGCGTGGGAATGAAACAGAACCTTACCTCATCTACTATATATGTTCAGCTTCCGTGACACCATCTATCTCAATCGAAGCTCCAGAACCTGACAATAATCAAAAGGCACGAGACAGTGATCTCAAAACGTCAGACTATGATCTTTTAACATTATAGAAACCCACAGAGCGAAATT